AGGCACCCCGGCTCCCACACCTAGTCCGGACGAGTGCTCCTACTGAGACTCTCTCCAAGAACATTGTGATCGGAGAGAGAGTCGCTGGTCTGAGGCGTGAGGTTCTGCCCATCAAGGGCAAAAACAAAAGCGACTGTGCAAGCAGGTGGCCGCCACTTTGAGAGGCTCAGCATCCCCGCGCAGTCCTGCCCGGCTGCCTGGCGAAGGGCGCCTGTCCCCCGTGACAATAAAACACTTCCAAGCGTCTAACCATCCCCGAATACTGAGAAACCGCACAGAACGAAGGCCTGAACAGTGCACGTCCCCGCCACGAGAGGGTCAGAGTCCCGTGGCGTCCCGTTCTGCTCCTGCGAACGCATGTCCTTTTCCATACACGTTGCCCAATAATTACTGGGATGGTCCGGTCCTTTCTTCACGCCGTGGATGTTTGAAGCGACCACGCTAAAAAGCACCGGACACCGCCTCCTCCGAGAAAATGTCCTCTGATCAGTTACCCCGGGCACTGAAGCCATCCTGGCGAGAGGGATGGTTTTCATCAGCGCCCTCATTCTTCTCATACCATGTTCGGTTGCCAACATCGCGCCTGAGAAAACTGCGCTTAAGTAGGAGGCACACCTGGTCGTGGCTGCACTCCTGAAACAGAGGCTGTTTCTAAATGAGCCTTCAGGTGGCAGAAACCCTAGTTCCACTCGGCGGGCCCCTGGAAGCAAGTTTCCTGGCAATAGAGGATTCTCTCTGCCACATGAGGCCCTGCCCTGCAAACGCCCCTCCTCCCGCCACCTGCTCGGGTTTGATCGCGCAGAAGTCCCATCCGAAACTAGTCTCCCCCCTTGCCTCGTTTCCTTCCTTAGCGACATGGAACCCCTCATGACGCCACTATATCCATGGAGCATATTGAACAAAAGCCACCGCACTCCATGGGCCTTCCAAACGCAGGCGCAGGCCACCCGTCCCAGAAAGGCCCCCTCGCCTTATCGCCAAGCAGACACCCTGTGCCTGCACTCACAGCGAAGGCCCCATCTCAAACCTCAGCCTTCACATGCCATCCGTAGATTCCGCAAAAATGGTTTATCATAAAAATTAACCGGACAGGGAACAGCTTTCTGTAGAATGAGAAAACCCTGTTAAGCAATCCCCAGTAGCCAGCAGAGGAGGTAGGCTTTCTGCTGCAATAACCACGGAATCTGGGTTTCCACATTATTTCCAACTTAACACAAAAGCATAAGTGCCATCATTAAGTGCAATTTAAAGGGACTGTGGACCGGACGCCAACAATGCGGCAACTGAAATATGTGTAAACGAAACCACCAGGTACTTATCTACAACCTAAACACAGCAATTAGGGGACTTTGGATCATTTCACCATAAACCTATTTCTTCCTGAAGCAATCATATTCTCAATTGGCAAGAGATCATATTTCCAGTATCAGAATACTTACTGATTAGCTAAAAAAAAATAAATAAATAACATGAAAATAAAAATACGGTTTTATTTAGCATTTAGGCTGTGTGAGACATTGGCTTTTAAAAAAAAAATTAAAAGAAGCTGTGAAAAAGCATCCTCCTCAAAAGAAAAATCTCAAAACCATTTGAAAGTCAAAGCTAAGAAATAGGAGTGACACAGGGAAATAAAAAGATGGCAACACTGAAAACCTAACACAAGAAGAGGACAAAATACACCAGAGGAGAGTGGGACCAGGCAGTCACGGGAATGCTGGGAAAACATCCCTGGGAAGGCCACGAGGTCCGCTCCCCAAGCTCATCATCCAGCATCCCAGGGATCA